GGACATAGCTAGTTCTAATTCTAATTGGTCTTCTCTTTTACTAATTTCTGATGTTTTAGAGAGCATGTGTTCGATTCTAGTATTCATTGTGGTTGCCGATTTGGATAGAATGTTCAGCGTATTGTAGGCTTTTCGGAATTCGGATTTAATTACGTGAGTCTGATTATGAATTAAAGAAGTTATTTATTTTTGGTCGTTATAAATTTTATCGATTTCGCGGTTATAATATTCAGCGTCGGTTTCGTCGAGTGTTCCGAACAAAGTTTTGCTGATCGAGCCGATGAACCCGAGAGGGGCTCGTCTTACTCTAACCGCATTCTTTCCGAGCGCGTGTGCTAACAAATTTCCGTATCGTACTGCCTCCGCAAGTTTTCTATCTAATTCTTCTTTCAGGGTGTCCGCAGGTCACGATGTTATGTTTTGGGTTTTGCACATGGTCTTCATGCGGTTTACTGCGAAGATGGTATCTGGGCGGCTGGTTAGAATTTCCGTTACATCCAGGGCTGTGACTAGTCTCCACGTTGTCCGGAACGTGCGGATCGGGGCCAGTTTTTCGGGGTATAGTCCGGGGTTGCTCCTTAGTCGTGTAACGGAGTAGTAGCCTTCCATATGGTTCGCAGCCGCGAACTGGATCGAGGCGATGCTTAGTAGCAGGTACCAGGGGCCCATGTTGATTCGGTTGACCTATCTAGTAGTTTATAGGTATAAGTTAACCGTTAGTTTAGTTACTGGATTTCCTAAAATAGATACCCTTTTCGTTCAGGTGGGCTCAAAAGGGGGAGGTTTGCAGGTGTTATCGGATTTGTTTTCAAAATTTGTCAAATGTGCGAGTTTTAATTTGTTAAGGCGTTTTGCAAATTTCCTTCCCTGTTCGTCCGTGAGGATTATGTTGTTATTTTCCGTTATTTCACAGATTTTGAATGGGCAGATATAATGAGGGTCAAATTTACTAAGGCGCGGTTCTTTTAACACATAAACTTGATCATTGGGAGAGAATTCGACTTCTTTACTTTTCTTATCGTACTGTAATTTCGAGCGTTCTTTGCTTTGTTCCAGATTTTTCCTAGCTATTTGACGGATTTCTTCTAATCGTTGTACTAAATTTTGAATGTATACTGGATAGGTCAGGAGTTCTTCGCGAGTCATAGGAGTGAAAGGATCTCTTGCTAGCTGGCCGAAAACTACTTTGTAAGGCGTGAAATTTGTTGCCACGTGTGTCGATGTGTTATATGAATACGTTGCGAAAGGAAGAAGAATATCCCAGTCATGCTTGTTTTCTATAAAATGTTTTAGATATTCAATATGTACATGGTGACTACGCTCAAGGGAACCGTTTGTTTGAGGCCTATTACCGGAGGTGGTAACGTGTTCAATATTAAAAGTTTTGGCTATTCCTTTAAGAACTTGATTAATAAACGACGTTCCGCGATCCGTGAGGATTGCCCGTGGCGCGCCGAACATTGCGATGAAGTAACGCGAGAAGGCGTCTGCTACGGTCTCAGCTCGGATGTCAGGTAATGGAATGGCCATGCAAAATTTTGAGAATTGACATTGAAGCGTAAGAATGTGTCGATTTCCACTTGGCGTGAATGGAAGAGGTCCGACGGTGTCTAATGCTACCTTATCGAAAGGTCTGGCTAGCGTATCCGTATTGAGCATTGGTTCTCGTGTTTTGATTCGTACTAATTTTTGTTCCTGGCAGCTTTTACAGGATCGGATGTAATCTTCCACATCTCGATGCATTCTAGGCCAGTCGAAAAGGTTCCGTATGCGTCGATATGTTTTAGTTACTCCTTTGTGACCTCCTATTAAACTTTCGTGATAGTCGCGAATGATATCTTCTCGATGGTCCTCTGGCGGAGTTTGTATTTCACCTGTACATATTGTCACGGTGATCGGTTCGTCTTGAAAGGCTTCGGACAATTGTTGTTGTAATGTTTGAGCGTCCAATTTGTGCATCGTTTCTCCGCTCGTTGGGATGCGGAGATTATCTACTCCTTCTATTTTTGCTGCTAGTTTTAGAGCCTGCAGTAAATCAGACATCTGGTGTTGTTCGATAGTCTGGAAGAAGTATTTAGCGCCCACAACGCTAAAGATTCGCCTTTCTTCTGCTTGCGTAACGATTACGCGTCCTTCGGTTAGATTTTCGGTGAGCAGATTTGTTTCAGAGAGCATTCCTAGGGCTTTTAGTGTTCTGCAGTTGGGGCTGGTGAGAATTTTATCGGCAAGGATAAAGTGTGCGATATTACCAGTGCCCTCGGTGAGAGGAGCTTTAGAAAAGACTATTTTGCATTGGATTACTTTAACCTGTGTTGGGCTGACAGTGACCTGTGGGTATGGCGTGTAAATATTATCAATGTCTTTCCATTTGCGAGTAAATTCGGGAGTCCTAATGGTCGATTGCGGTATGTCTAATAATTCTGATGGGAATGGCAAGTCCCAGGAGATGCGTGTCGGTTGTCTGACGGTATCCGTTTGCGAGAGGTCGTATGAGGATGGTTCGTGTTCTGGATCAGCTTGGTCCTCTGATGGCTGTATAGGTTCCCGGGTGGAGAGAGATGACCCCCAAGATACGCGTTTTCTTGGTTTTGGGGTACTACTCGCCAGTGCCTCATGTTCTTGCTTCGTGGTGACGTTGTCATCCATCATGGTGGAGTTTGCATTGGGCTCGATCTCTTCCGGCTCTATATCCTGCCGATTGTGTTTCATCCAGGATCATGGATGGTGGTTCCTCGTAATTTGGCCTAGATTGGGCCGCCCCATGCTATACAAACCCGGTTTGCAATCGGTTCTTCTGCGTTGGTGGTCTGGTCTGAGGATATTATTGGTAGTGCAAAAGTTACGGGATTTCTTGACAAGGCGTCTGCGTTTGCATTTACGCGACCTGGTTTGTATATAATCTCGTAATTATAGTCCTCCAGGAGTATTCTCCAGCGGGCTAGGCGTGATACCGGGTCCTTGACCGAGAATAGCCATTGTAGAGGGCGATGGTCTGTTACTAGCGTGAATTTTCTGCTATATATGTACGTTCTGAAATGTTTGACTGCAAAGATGATTGCGAAGCATTCTTTCTCCGTTGTCGAGTAATTCTGTTGAGCCGGCGTGAGAGCTAACGACACGTAGGCAATAGCTGAATCTTCGCCTATTTTGCCCTGACTTAGGACAGCGCCGACAGCGATGTCTGATGCGTCAGTGGTGATAATGAAGGGCTCATCAAAATTCGGATAGCGTAAAACCGGTTCCTCACACAGAGTCTGTCGTCATGCCTCAAAACCTTTCTGATGGGCTTCGGTCCATGCGAAGGGTTTCTTGGGACTAGTTAGTTCTGTCAGAGGTTTGGCCTGTTGTGACAGATCTGGGATAAATCGCCTATAGTAATTTACTAATCCTAAAAATTGTTTCAGTGTTTTTCGCGTGGTTGGAGTCGGAAAACTTTCTACTGCTCGAATTTTCTCTGGGTTTGGTCTTATTCCCTCGGACGAGATGATGTGGCCCAAATAGGTTACCTCCTTCTTCAGAAATTCCGCCTTATCTGGTTGCAGAGTAAGGTTATTATCGCGAAGGCGTTGGAATAGCGTTTCGAGTCGTGTTTCCATTTCCTGCAACGTGCGTCCGTAAACTACTATATCGTCGATATATACCTATAGGATTTTACCAATTAGTCGCTTCAAAACAAGTTGCATAAGCCTTTGAAAAGTGGCGGGCGCATTTTTTAAACCGAACGGCATGCGCGCGTATTCGTAGTGTCCATCCGGAGTCGAGAATGCCGTTTTCTCCTGGTCCTCCGGAGCCATGCATATCTGGTGAAATCCATTTGCCAAGTCGAAAACAGCAAAGTATTTTGCACGGGGATATACGGGGAATCGGGAAACGGTCGTCGATTGTTTTCGGGTTTAATTTACGGAAGTCTACAACCATTCTCCAGCGCACATTTCCTTTCGAATACGGTTTTTTCGGAACTAGCCATAGGGGCGAGTTATACGGGGAGTTCGAGGGAACTATTACCCCTAAATCCTCTAAATTTTGTATTTGTTTCGATATCTCTTTCTCCTGGTCGACGCTAAAGGGATACTGTCGCGTAAATGCCGTAGTCTTGTCGTCCACAGGGATGTTGTGAACGATTGCCTTTGTATTTCCCAGGGGATCGCCGGGAATAAAAAATCTATCCGCGTAACGCGCTACGAAACTTTCGACCATGCGTCGCGGTTTATCTTCCAAATGATCTAATTTTAATGCTTTATTAATTTTTCGGATTCTCTCAACGTCGGTCTGTTGCGTGACAACATAGTCTCCTAGGTCTTCGCCTTGAAATTCCAGCTGTTCGTCTGTCAGCGGTGTCAACGGCCTAGGTAGGTCAATAATGTCGTTCGGGTTGCGCGTTTCTTCACCCGATTCCTGAGAATTTCGTTGGGACAGCTCTTCGACGGCGCGGTCCGCGTCCTCGTCGTTATCGTCTGTGTAATCAGCTGATGCAACTTTTATACATTCCTGTTTACCGAGGAGCGCTCGCGGGGCTTCCTGGTTGCGTTGGCAAGAAGTCAGCGTTTCTTTTATCTCCCGTGAGTTCGAGAATCAGATTGGATGAATCGGCCGTTTGTTCGTTACTAGGGTTCTATGATGAAAAGAAATGTCGCTCTCTTCTTGCAGGAGGTACGGGCTACCTAAGAGGCCTATTACTCCGTCAGGGAAATCCGGGTTGTCGACGACGTAAAAGAGTGTTTGGCTTCCGTTTATTTTAATGCTTAGAATGTCGGCAGCGATGATGTATCCTTGCAGTCCTTTTACGCTGACGCTCTCGCATTTAATGATCGGCGCGTCGGTCCGTAGCGCGTTTGACTTAATCAAGTTCAACATCGAGCCGGTGTCTATAATAAATTCTCCGTTGCCTTTGTTCAATTCCTTTGAGCGGATCCGAATTCGCGGCGAAGGAGCCTGTAAGCGTCCTGGCGACTCGCTTGTGGCTGGTGGGGATCGCGGCGAGGCGTAAAAGCTGCGCCCGCTCAATTGTCCGCGGGTGAACGGGCGCGACTGAAGTTTAAATTTTCTCTTTCCGGCGTGGTACTTCGCGACAGCCTGTTGTCTAGTCTCGGCGGAGGATCGCGCCCACGTTCAGGATAGCTATTTCCTGGCGGTCGGCGAGGTCCTTGTCGCCGATTTGGAGCGTATGAATAATTATTTAAATAGTTCATTTGGCCAGAATATTGAGTTCCATGTGTTTGATAGTGGTTATGATAGTGTGGACCTTGGGGTGGCATCCTTTGAGCGTGGCCACACCCGCAGAACCAAGAAGGCTGCGGGGGCATGCATGGTGCGCAACCGTGTGGGCATCCGGACCCACACGGTGGAGCTGCGTACCGAGATTGACACGTGTTTGCCGGAGGGGCCGCGGGCTGGACCGTGTTCGCGTAGCAAGAGCCACATGGGTGGCTAGGATATTCCGCTGGTATCTGTTGTGGCGGTTCTCGCCACTCAGACCAAGTGCGATTGTAGTCGTATGGTGAAGGAGGGGTTGCTGGCAAAGGATTGACCTGAGGACTAGCCGGAGGGGCCGGTTTTTTTATTTTCGCGTCGTTTTTATCTATTAAGAGTGCCTCGCCCATGATGTCGGTGAGTGTGGTTTTTCGGGTAGTCATTACAGCCTGCAATAATTTTGGTGGCAAACCTTGGATGAAGGCTCGCCCCGCTAAGATGTCGAATTTCTCGGGGTCAAAGTTGTCGCCCTTTTCGTAAAACCGTTTCGTCATCCCTCATTGGGAGATTCCCGAGTTCTAGACAGAGTTCCTTATAGGTCTTGTTAGGAGAGTATCTTTTCCGAACCAATTTTAAAAGGTCGACGACGCTTGTGCAGTTACGTTGTTCTACATAGAATTTAACGTGCTGAACTAATTTATCCATAAGGCCTTCGAGAAATCTGGTCTCCTGGCCGGACGGGACTCGTGACTTTACTCTATGTATCGCGGTCAGAAAATCTTCAAACGAAACCTTCTCAGGGTTGAAATCAGGGATTTTTTCTAAAATCTGATCCACCTTTTTCTCCTCCCTTTCGGCGATGAACCACGAATCATAATGGGATACCCCGGATTGTCCGAGGCTCCGCGTGTCTCTTACGGGCGGCGAGAATGTAGGAGGCGGTGGTGGGCTGCGAGAGGGAATCGTGTCGTGAACGAGAGGCATGGTGAGGGTTGAGAATGGACAAGTGTTCGAGCGACAAGGGTGTGGTCAAGTTACGGGTATCCCACTTCTGGCACCAAATTGTTACGTCCCACCTTAAGGGTGGTTATTTTACTGTTACTACGTTTTGGGTTCTGCCGATCAAAACGCTAAAGCGTACCTTGGCCTTCCTCGCGGGTAGTATAGAAATACAGGATGGGGCGTTCAGTAATTGTAGATACACATATATGGGTCTTCAATATATATATATTCTGTCTCTGTAGTTACATACCCTTCGCTGACTTCAGGTGTTGTGCGTCACTCGTTCGTTTTCGTATCACTCGCTGGTCATTCACACTAGACCCTTGCTTCGCGGTTCGAACGGTACACTAGACTCCCGGCGTATGGCTACGACTCGACCTTGGAAATACAAGCGGTTGGTGGTTGTCCTGCACAGCTCACGGGTGCACTCCTGGACTTGGTCCAATTATGGGTCTGTTATCTCAGACCCCGGGGATACACTCGTGTTGAACCGTCGGCCGAGCACGTCGTCGATAATCTTCCTGGTTTCGAGTAGCCTTACATGCGGGTCTATTGCGGGTCACGAACGGACAGAACTTCGGTCTTTGCTTTACGCTATCACGGAACTGGCGTACTTGCGTTGCGCCGATAACTTATACTTCCAAAAGGGGAGTAGGTTAGATAAGAGATAAAAAAATTCAGGTCTGCTGAGGAAGAGGTCCCATTGTTACATTCCTGGTCATCGACCGTATTTTCGCCTTTCGCCATTCCAAAAAAGGTCTCGCTCAGGAATCCGTAAAACATTAGCATTTTCGCACCCGGCAGCGCCCGCGGTACGAAGTCAAGGAACTCGCGGAACGCGATGTCGAAAACCCTTCGCTGGCAAGTTTTCGTAAGCCACGGGCGTGACCCCTTTTGAGAAATATAAATTAGCGACACGAAGCGACCGGCACTTCTTAGTTTTCTTGACTATGCGAAGCAGCGGTGACGCGCTGTCCAGTAGCGACCCGCAGTAGACTCGCGACTTTCAATACTAGAAACCAGGAAAATCATCAACGACGTGCTCGGCTGACGGTTCAACACGGGTGTATCGCGGGGGTCTGAGATACCAGACCCATAATTGGACACACTCCAGGAGTGCACCCGTGTGCTGTGCAGGACCACCACCAACCGCTTGCATCTTCCAAGGTCGAGTCGTAGCCACGCACCGCGAGTCTAACGTTCGTATCCGATCCGCGACGTAAGCGAAAAACGACGAGTGTGATACGAGAATATACGAGCAACACCCGAAGACAACGAAGGGTATGTAATAACAGAATCTGAATATCTATATACGCGTACTCAGATCACTACACTGCTATCCTACACCCTACATTCCCCGCAAGGTAGGTCAAGGTGCGCTTTAACGCTTTAAGCTCAGAACCCGTGTAACGCATTTACAGTAGAATAAACGTCCGCAAAAAGGGACGTAACACCATAACCACCGTCGAAACGTGGTTAGACAGTGCTTCGCACTCGGAACTTGTTCCCATGCTAACCACGGAAAGACAGAATGATCATGATTCTTTTCCATGTACATAACTGGGTACCCTCTTCTCTTCGTACTATAAGCGCCAGTCGGTCCTAAGTGTAACATATGCATGTGCGTGTATGATCGGTACGAATGAGTATGAATGGCAGAGTAATTGAATGGTATGAAAAGAGTATATAAGAACGACTGTGTACAACAACCAACGAACAACGAACGTTCGAGAATCGTCCGAAGAAGGGTCGTACAGGGCGATAAACAGCTATTGTATGAAATTCTGAGAATCTGCCTGACAACGGAAATCTTGCCGAATATTTGATATAAAACCAAATGGAATATTCTCATACATGCTGTTTAGAACGTTAAACTATAGCCGCAAATGATTATTAATAATCATCGGGAATCGTTATTTTTTCTACCATGTAACTTGATGCCAACGGCTCTAGTCAAACTGTACTTATTCGCAACCCCTTCGCTAATACCGAGCCATTTTCTATCGTTTGAAGCATTAATGATGTTAATCATATCGTTAAAATGTTGGCAATAAGGCTAGGAATCTTATAAATTCAAGCGTAGAACAGTCTACAGAATTTTAGCTGCGTAGAAGACCGTTACGCTAAACAGAAAGAATAGGCAATACCGACGATAGAGAGTGGGAATAAGAAGGCAAGGAGAAGAAAGTCTGCATAACACGTCACCGTCAACCAATCACGGGGTGGGCCATGCTCAATCACGTGCCCTGATTAGCAAAGTATAAAATGTTCAACCTAACAGTCTCATTTTAAGAAAAGGAAGACCAGTATAATGTCGTGAAAACGTCACGTGCGTCGTAGTACGGAATATTACATGTTTTTCATTTGTGCCCAGTGCAATAGCAACATGACAGAGAATATAAATGCTTATTTATTTGAAAGAATTGGAACTTTTCGGACTATGTAGTGAAATTCTGTGAAAAGTGATAGTGACCGTGCGGTTGAGTGAGTTTAATGATCTCGTCTGGAGATCAGCTGTTCTTCGCAACGTATTCCCTCCTCGAATGTTCAGAATCGGCACAATGACCCATTGACAGCAAACCGTTTTCATTGCAACTGGGTCATTTACGGACGAATGAGTAAGTTCTATTTATATTTTTGAATGTTTTCGAATTTAACACGTTTATTAGTTATTCCATTTCAATCCTTTTTTTAGTATGTGGAAATTTTTTTTATTTCCAAATCGTGTATTCGTTTTTTCATATTTGTTCCAAAAATGAAAATAAAAGTGTTGGATCAATTCGATTTATTCATTCTACATGAACAACGATTCATTACTTTATTCGTTGTTCATGAGCAATCAATATTCGATACTATTATCCTTTTTTTTTTATTCATTATCCGATGCAACTTCTGCCCAACGAATCCTATTACAGTAAAACCTGGATAAATTCAACGAAAGAATGCTTGGATAAGTGAAACATCGCTATCCCATCCACTTGGGGGGTTCCCCCTAAGCGAACCGAGCCGCTCGACCAGGAAACCGTGTAATATGATCCTACCGTAATATTGGTGTGACTAATACTAATTCAACGATAAAACCTTTTTATGTTTAACCTTTTCTCAATTAAACTTTTACTAACGCATTTGTGAGATTTTTCTGATTAAAATGATACCAAACTCGATATAGGTTGAATTATATTTATAAACAATAGTAATAGAATAAACAACATAGAATTGCGACCACGACTGAATATAAATGATGTCGGCTGAATACAAAAGATGTGTACGGACACAGAATCGGCATGTCGGCTGAATAGAAAACATGTGTACGGATTCAGAATCGACTCCTCGCTTGAATAAATGAAACATTAAATGCCTAGAATCGGCACCCCGCTAGGATAAATGAAACCTTTGAAACCAAAGCCGACACCGCGACTGGTTTTGATTTCGATCTCTCTTGCTTTTCGCCAACTTTTAACATCAATTTTAGCAAGTAATTATAATTGAAACTATCTCGTGTTTGGTACCACTTTAATCACAAAAATCTCACCAATGCGCTAGTAAAAGTTTCACTAAAAAAAAGTGAAAAATAAAAAAGTTTTTTGATTCAATTAGTATTAGTCTCACCGATACGTTTCGGCTCTTTCCTTTGAATATCGGACCTCTCTCTTTCCACCACTGTCTGTCCCTTTCTACGCTTGGCTGGTCGTCGCGTGTCACCCGAGATTCGATACCGTGCTTAGGTAAACGCTGGGTCCCAATCTTGGTTGAATTTATCCAGGTTTTACTGTATACCGACATAGTGCCGATGCACTTGATCACGACCGCGCGGAGCATACCCAACACTCGGGGTTCGGCCCGCGCTAACGGCGCGCTCTGATTGGCCAGTGTTTTTCGTTAATAACTCGAAAACGAAGCCTTCACCAACATTTTGGCAAAGGAAAAAGTTGTTTTGAATGACCCCACTAATCATCCTTCTTACGCTCCTACCCCAGTTCTGGGACACCCTGTATACAGGGTTTTATACAATATTTTAAGGGGTGATTCTAGGGATCAAAATAAGACGAAAATCAAGAATAACGAAATAGCGTTTACGGCTTTGTTTTCCAGTTATTAACGTTTAAAAATTCGAGTAAAAAGCGCCAGAAACCTGCAATCCGCTCAGCACCGACGACTGAATGTCAGGTCAACAGGGATCGGTACAGTCATAAACAAGAATCGTTGAATAGTAGAAACTTACCTCGTGCTATTCTTCTATTTTTTTTTTTATCTTCACATTGAATTTACATTAAATAACAATTACTAAAACAATGTTACATTAAATGTTCAATATGTCCATCGTTTTGTTCAATACATACGCGAATGCGTTTTCCGAAATTGAGTCTCATGCGATGAACATCGTCTGAAAATCGTTTTGAGTATTCGTTGTTTTAATTCCTCGCTATTCGTTACCGTTGTTGAGTACACTAAACTTTTCAGGTATCCCATAGAAAAAAGTCTAAAGGATTGGAGTCAGGTGACCGGTAAAATATTTGGGTAGGTGGTAATTATAAAAGAGTCTAAGTGAGTG